TGCAGCCCACGCAGGATGGCAACAGCTTCTCCTGTTTTGGACTGACAGTGTCTGACCATAAAGCAGTGCTGCTCGGCTGTGTGTGGCCATGCCCCCTCCGTCCCTCACACTGCCATGGTTGGGATATGCTGACGGCTTTTTTTTTTTTATATTTACAGCCTTGAGAAGCCCAGAACTGCCCGGACAAGGCGGATGCGCTGGCGGCTCAGCACAGCCACTCCGGCACATGCACAGCTTGTGGGCAGAGCACATCTTTCACCAAAGCTGCTGCTGTCCGATTCCCCCTTCCACCCCTGCCCTTGGGATTCAGCATCAGCCCCGCACTAAGCCGAGCGGGGCGTTTCACCCCGATAGCAGTTTTATCTTTGCTAATCCACAGGCTCAGGAAGACAGCGCTATATTTGTTACAAGCCACTGGTGCTTTGAAGGGTTTTGCAGAGATAACTACTAAGAAGAGCCTAACAAAGAGCACGTCTGGAAGCTGAGAAACTCCCATCGCTAGGAGGTGGTGGCAGTGGCAGGGAATTGTCCTTCAGTCACTTACGAAGCAGCCAAAGATGGCAAGAAATTAATAAGGGAGAAAATGAATGCTTGGGGGAAAAAAAAATATTCTGGCAGAGGTGTGCAGAAGCACATGGACAATTTGTGTTTGCTATGAGGGGGACAGGGGCTCCCTGTGTTTGGCGAGACACAGAGCAAACACGGGACGAGCACCTGCCCTAACACCACAAATGCTTTTGTTCGCGTTCTTTGAAAGCAATGGCAGCGGCAGGGACAGCAGAACAGCTGAAACCCTTCCCCCTCGCCTTAATTCACTGAGGAGCTTTAACGAACGTTCACTCTAAAAATTGCTCACATAAAAATAAAACCAGGTGTTTGTCTAGAAACAAGGCATTGGCTAAAGAACATTTGTTTTTCTGGGCACAGATGCAACTAGTGTAAAACTATTTTTAAAAAGCACATCTTTTGAATGCTAGACTATAGAAAGCAAGAGGTGGCACTGAATTTCTTACAGAAAAGTCAGTTTTCTTCCAGTGAGCTCACTTAGTAAAAGAGACACCCCTTAGACACAGACAGAAAAACACTGGAAGGTACTAATTTTGATGAAAATGTACTTTTAGGCCAAACAAAACTACTTCTGAATTTGAGTCAAAAGTAGCAAATAAAGATTCAGTCAAATAGGAAAAAAGCAAGAGGTTAACCTGCTTTATTTTGAGGTGGGAAACAATGTTTCAGTTTTCCATTTTGAAATAATTTATTCCAAAGATGAGGCTAAGGTCATTTTCCAAAATCTGAAATAACATATCTAATGGAACATTTTTTGCCTTTGAAAATAATCATCTCCGTGTATTTTGATGTCACTGAGTATTTTTAGGTTTTGTGCTAATATAAAGTAGACCTCTTTATTTCTTATTTCGGCCACAAAAAAAACCCAACAAACAAACAACTCACCATTATTCAGCAGCTCTAACACCAGCTCAATGAAGCATCTCACTGGAAAGCCCAGAAGGCAGCAAAACACTCTCTAACCTGCTGTCACAAGAGGCCAGGACAGGTTTTTGCTCCCAGAGCCACCAGCTTGCCGATGCCACCCAGGCCAGATGGGCAGGATGGGCAGCGTGGCGGGATCCGTGGCGGCACAGCCAGCAGGTATCGGCACGGGAAGTGCCAAGCACGAGACCTTTATTAATGAGAGACCATGTAACTGAGGTAGGATAGATCCTGCCATCACCCACTTCAGGGGAGAAACCGGTGTCCAGAAGGTTAACCCCTGGCTTGCCCCAGGTGAGACACATCCTTATGTAAAGACAGCTCCCCTCAGCTCGATGGAAATGGAGCAATGACCCACTTCACTGCTGATGGCACGAGGCAACCAGGGCTTGCACAGCGCTGCATTTCCATAACAAATAAGAGCAAGGTCTACAGAGGGTCTGCAGACCCCCACTGGGACTGGGGAGCCGAGCATCTCGTGGCTCCGGCAGCATCCAGCTGCCAGCTGGGCACAGCTCCGGGCTCGGGGTGTCCATGGGAACAGGCTGAATCCCCAACACCCACAAAAGGAGGAGCAAGCGCATCCACAGGACAGCGCAGGCATTTCGGTGGGGGAGGGCTGGCCACCCCAGTGCTGCTGCTGGGAGGGAGGGGGCGTTTCGATGCTGGGATGAGTCCCTGAGGAGCAGCGAGGGGCTTGCGGTTTGGCACGCGGGGTTATTGCTGGGCCACTGCAGGGCGTCAAGGAACAAGCAGTGTGTGACACCGATGGTCCCTGCTCAGCGGGGCAAGGGAAGGGTTCAAAGAGATGGAGTTTGGGGGAGGTTTTAAAGTGATTATACATAGATGCTCTCAATTTACTGCTGCTGGGAAGGAAAAAGAGAGAAACAAGGTAATTATAGCAAGACCTTGGATGCTTGGAGGATGGAGTCTTCCATGGCATATAGCTGTGTACACACATCCCAAACAACCCAACATCAGAGCAATAGCAGATAATGAAAACATACATTTGGGGCAAGAATAGAAGAGGCAAGGCAGGGATCTCTCTAAGGACACCCCATCATTCCTCTGGTGGGCACGAAGCACCCAGAAATAACTGCCTGTGTCAGAGCTATGCACTGGTTTAATGCGCCAGCGTGAAACTCCATCTGCTAAATCAATGCAATCCCACAGAAACACGTTTCTTGCAATTTAAGAGTGACTTAATACATTCCTAATGAACTGGATTTGAGATAGACCTGACTAAAGTGGATAAAAAGATCTGGCTTAACCCCAATAAAATAATTTGTACACACAGTCTTTTGCATCTCTCTACCTGGAATCATGTTAAAAATCGTATTTTGTATTAAAACCAAGAAGGAAGCCCTAAAATTACTCAACAGGAGAAAGGAAACAGAAGATGGAGCAGGGTCCTTGGTGCAAAAGCAATAAACCCCTGGGACGAGGAGGGCCCTGCCTACCTGTATTGCTTGGCAGCTCTTACCTGTGTTATCCCCTGGTTCCCAGCCGATGCAGGGACCAGCTGCACTTTGGGATCTCTAAAGCAGCATGGGAGATGAGGAGAAGCAGGACAAGCTGCCCGTTAAATGATGGTGTCTATCTGACTTGCTATCAAATAAAAAGACTTAAAATGGAGATTACTTGTGCACAACCACACACAGTTTCTGACGTCATTTTCAATTTTGAGATGTCTGATCTAAGCCCACGTTATGCAACTGTTGAATCTTCCACACTGGCGGAGTCTAATTTTCACACGCCTACATGCTATGTACCTGATTTTTATTTTTATTTTTAAATATCAACAGCCTACATCAATTTTTTTAAAGAGACTTAAATGAAAGGTCCCAGCTTCACATCCGTCGTTTAAAAGGAGTAAAAGCAAAAATACACGAAGTCCAGTCTGAAAAACAGGCAATGAAGATAATGCAACAGTAACAGATGAAATGAAAATTCAAGGGACAACTGCAGACAGAACCTATTTCCAGCATGGGGATTATATATCCATGTGCAAAAAGTATTCAATACATGTTTCACCTATGACTCACCTTTCTTTTCAAGGTCACTTTTATAACTGAGATGTGCCAAGAAGAGAAAAAAGCCCCTAAATGAAAATAAAGCATGGCCATTTTATATCAGTCACTGCTGGAATGCACCAACGCAGTGCTTATCCAAGCTCTCACATTAATTAAGCAAACAATAATGTCAAATAAACAAAAGTTAATTCAGATCCTGTGTAAACAGACTCTCAAACCAGATTATGGAGAAGGAAGAGACAGAAGCTGGAGGCAGTCCTAGGGGCACGGGCAAAACCTGGGCTGAGTTCTCCTCTCTGGCCGTTTTTACATCCCTGTCTGTGATGAAGTGAACTTTCTTCTTGTTGGAGCCCAGCATATGAACTTGCATTTCTCAAAACATATTTAGAGCTGCTGAATAATCAGTCTGAGACTACAATAGCATTTCTGCCTTTCGGGCTGGGGTTTTTCTTGGACAGTCTAACTGGTGACCAATTCCCACCCTAGTGTCAAAGAGGTACAAGGTGAGAATGCAGAAATCATAGGAAAGGATTTTGATTTCATGTGGCCATGACCCTGCCAGTCTCCTGGGCAGAAACTTGCTTCTGAACAACACCTTCAAGTAACCGTATATTGCTTTTCAGATCAATGTCTCCTTCACTACTGCAGAAGTTAATCAACAGTGATGAAGCTGCAGAGAGGTGCGTGTGCCCTGTGTACAAACCAGCAATATATGCCTTTAAAAAATAAATATCCAGTCTGAAGACACAGGTGGGCATTTTTCAGAGATGCACATAATGACGGAACTATATGGGTTCAAGACTGAAGGCCAAAGAAGGAAGATCTTGGTAAGCAAGAGAAGCTATCCTCACCTACTGGGTAAGACACGACTTGAAGAGCTGAAATTCATTCCTACATTGTTGACTTTGTGCTGTACGGGTCCAGGCAGGCAATACAACCTGTATCAGAGGTTATCTGAAAGCCACTGGATTTTTTTCGGTGAATCAGGCCTGATTGACATGGTCCCTAAAGATACCAGTATCTGTGTGAAGTGATTCACTTGACTGCAGCTCATCACAGGCACATTTTACAAACTGCAGGAGCTCCAGCTAATCTTCTCTCTGCTCCACCAAGGAATAAAAGTGGATGTTGCTAGGAGTGCTAGTAGTCCGGACAAGAAAGACTTGTTTTCTGTTTCTATGGTTGCAAAAGCCCTTAAGAAAGATATAAATTTCCCTGCAACAACTAACTGCATATTCATTTTAAGGTAGATCTAGTTCCAGATTCCTGAGACAGAACCCTCTACCTGTTCCCAGCCCCACGAAGCCAGAGCAGCAATATAGGAAGTTTCTAACCTCAAAAGAATTCAGTGAGCAGCATGATTGGTTTGGAAAATAAACAAACAAACAAACAAACAAAAAAAACCAAAACTAAAACAAAACAGAAAGCCCCCATAGCAATTTTTCAGCCTCTATGTACAGAAACAATGCAAACAAGTGGAACATTCTAGTTATATTTTGTAAAACACATGTTTGGGATCAACAAAACATCAAACATCCAGACCCTAGATTACAAAAAAAAACTATTGCCATCTAGTTGTCAGCCCCAAGTTTAGACAGTCCTTGTCGGAAATCATGTAATTCATCTATCTTCCCATCTAGTACATCTAAAAAATTCTTTAATTCAGTTTTAAGGTTGGTCTGCCTATGTTTGCTCTCTTCAACTTCTGTCCTTAGCGTTCTGACTTTCTCTTCAAGATCTTTGTTCTTTTTCTCAGCAGCCTTAAAGACAAAAGAGACAATGAGATGATCATAGGGAAGGACAAAGAGCATTTCATAGGGTAAAGCAACAAATGGCAGCCAGGCTGTAAAAGTTCGCTCCGACTTCTGCAAACTGATTAAGACAGGCACCTCTGAGAGCAAGCGATGTGTGCTTGTCAGATTAAAAGGAAAGAAAGCCCACGCAGGAAAGGACACAGATTAACGGGAAAAGACGCTTTGCATCAGATTTTGTCGTATGGTTGATATCTTGAAATTCAGCTGGATTTAAATCATGCACTGTGCATATATTTCTGTCATTACTACAGTTGCAGAATTAGACACTGTGCCACCGATTACATACAGAATTATCTATGGTGGTTTAACCTTGAAAAACAAGCTTAGAAAATACTGCCTGAAGAATAATATTGATTTATTCAGCGCTTTTGGATTTACTGGTATTTTTTTAGTTTCACTTTGGGTGAGCACTCAGGGCTCCCGCAGCCCATCCTGCTTTGCTCCAAGCAAGCACCTCCCGGGAGAGGAGCCGCACTGCAAAACCGAGCACAGCGAGCCGTACTTTGCTGCAAATAAAAACCCAGCATGTAAACCCATCCACAGGTGAACCTTCTTCCCTGGTGGTGTGCAGCTACGCAATTAGCCGCAAGTCTTGGGGTGCAGCTCAACACCCATGGCTGCGGTGCAGCCCCCCAAGTCCAGGGCAGCAGATATACAGGATAGCCTGCAATCTGCAGGAGATGGATGGAACACAGTCCCAGGCAAAACAACTTCTGCAAACAGCAAGGCAAAGAGGTGGAGCTATTTAGTTAGTCCTGTGCGGGGAAGGGCACGGTGTATTTTGCATGTAATTAGCACTTTTTGTTTTTACAGACTGGAGTTCTGCCTACAAAAACTTCAGTCTGAACAGAGAAAAGCATATAGTTATGAGAAATAAAATAAGTGTATCAACTATTTTAAAATTAATTTCATTGCTAAACTGTACCTGTAGTTGTTCAGACACAGATTCACATTCTGACATTAGCTGTGGTATAATTTCACCCTGCTTTCGCAGCTCTTCCAGTTCCTTTGAAAATACAAAAGAAAAAAACATTAATGCAAGCTTCAATTTAAAACATAATGAAAATTTGAGAATATGAAATACTTTGCATATTTTATTGTATTCTGCACAGTATTTGGATGAACAATAATCAAAATAACATGTCTGCATTCCAAAACACATGCTCATTTTCTCCTAGAATACATTTCTGCCCTATATTTTTGACTCTGTATTTCTAAAACAGACAATCCATTCTCTAGCATGAATGCCATTAATTATATTAATGAAATCTTAACCTAAACCACATACCTATGCAAAAGATATATTCAATAAGAGAGAAATCTGAAGGGCTGTAATGCTACAAGCAAGTTATAGATGGTAGCAAAGAGCAAATTAGACATGAATTTTCAATGATATATGGCAGCAAAAAAAGGCCAAAAAAAGGCCAACAGCATTACGAGCTGAATATATAGAGGCATCATTACACAGCACAGCTGTAACGGGCTCTCCTCCGCTGTACAGCTCTGAGAACCACCCCCGACATTTGTATTCGGTTTTGGCATCACTGTCCAAATTGAGAGGACTAGCTCAAAGGAGTTCCTGAATAGAGCAATGTGACTGGATAGGAGACCTTGTCTCTGATGGAAATTAAGACAACTTGAACATTAACACTACAAATAAACACCAACAATGTGGGTCGTAGGGAAA